GCCTTCTTGTTCAATTTTTCCACGTAACCTCGTCTTTGCAATCCGCCAAGAGTTCTATTAAACCAACGTCGTTGTCTCATGGAAGGATTGCACATCCCCTATAAACAAATTAGTAAACAAAAACTCTTGCATTCCAATTGTGGCGCCAATGCTCTATCACCTCTTACCAAAGCTCTAAGTAAATCCGATGCATATAGCATTTGATTTTTAGCATTAGCTAACAATTGCGTTATGCGGAATCTGATCAGATGTGAGTTAAAGGATACTCCTGGGCTAGGATTAGAACCCGTGGTTGGACTTGGAAGATATACAGACTTCCCGGCATATGCAGAATTATACGGAGCACATTTCGCAAGTATTACTAAACTTGTATAATTCCCTTTTGTTACGACAGGAAGCTTAACTCTAACCCCAATAACAAATGCATTAAGGACAAATTATACACAAAAGTTAGTGGAAAACGAATACGACTGAGAACAATTTATGCAGACAAGACATACACGAGTTTTTTCTGTACAAGCGTTTTTACAAAGTGGAATAAGGATCTTGGATCTAGTTTAAGTTCCTTGGCCATGTCCGCTTGCGTTGCTCCGACAGAACGCGTTCTAGCCACATGATGTAGAACTTTGAGGCTTTGTGCCGAAACTAGTTGTACAATCTGTCGAGTTCAAAAAGTATCAAACAATCACATTCTGTAAGTTATGTGATAAATAAGACGCGAAAATTACGTAAAAAAACAAACTCTTACGTCCTCATCACCAAACATAGCCGTTCGCTGTAAATCCGCGTCTGCTGTTAAGCGAAGTCTGCCACCAAAACGCTCATTGACATCTTTTAATGTCATATTACTAACGTCAACAGTCTCCAGCTATTAAGGTAGTAACATTAAATTGTCGTTTGTCATCATGGCAATTTAGCTTCATCATTAACATACTTTCTCGACACACCTCAACATTTTCATCCCTAGCCCTTCCTTTTCCCTTCCTTCCTGTTCCACCTTGCACAGCAGTGTTTTGACGGTGCTCTGGTATCACTTTACATGTCATTCCCGACATCCTCGACAGCATTTTCCATACGTGGTCTTTCCATTGATCGTCTGTCGAAGGAGGGGCAGCCAGCTCATCTTTTTTACTGTCGACATAAGAATCAACAAAGTTCCAAAAGCGAGAAAGTTCAGTCCCTGATTATCCCCCGAGCGTGAGTGAAATGTTGATGGTGTTTGATAAAAGAGAGGCGAACACCAACGAACATTGACTTAGATAACGCGTTTTGATCATAATCAATCTCAGAACCCAACTCTCATATGGCTTACCCTGATCTCCGTCGAGAGCCACTTCCTCCACGACAAACGCCGCAAGTTCGTCATACATCATTTTGGAACCGCTGTCAAAGAACGATCGTTAGAACAAGTTTCTTCCTGACCCCTAAAACGACCCTGTAATGCCGTATACCACTGCATACAACAAACGCATCACCGATAGCTAATAGTTAAATACATCATACGTCGTGATAAATAAAAAAATAATCGGAGGCAGATAGGATATCAGAAGACAATCTTATTAAGTAATGCATACGATTGTCAAAATTATTGAACCAAGAATTACTTAATTTTTCATAGTAAATGGATGAAAACAAAATAGAATAATTAGCAAAGAAGGCCACTTCGGTAAATCGCGGACATTCTTTTATCTTTCTGTAATTGATCTATTTTGTCCAGTACGTGTCTGACAAGATAAGCATTCTGATAATAAACGAAAATGCTCAGGATCAAACTAGTCTGATTATGACCTCAGACATATCACATTCTGGCCATATCTGTATGCAGTGGTACATGGTATTTTCTAATATTGTAATTAAGAAGGTAACAACTAGTACCGGCACCCAACGGTCTGCAATAATGTAACGAGCGAAAAGTAAATGGCGACCGAGCGGGTGAGTTGTGTAATTGAATAAATCACGTGAAATACAAACCAGATCTGACCAAGTCACATGTTATAAAGGACAAGGCTGAACATTCTATTCTAATTCAATGGCTATGAAGACTTTCTCAACTAAGGTAAATTCCTCACTCTTGTTATGCATTCCTGCAACCTGCCTAAGCATTTTGTTACCTTTACGTTTATTCAATTAGGTGTATCTTGGAGATATCGTTCGCATATCTGGCGACAGTACTAATGAATTAGGTTTAGTGTCGAAGACTTGGTTTGAATTTGAGGATCCACCGGAGGAAGATTCAATTTCCGAACTCCCTTCTGGAATGGTGAGCGAAAGCTTGTGAACGCTGTTATTAGACCGCATATAGACTGACTAATGATTTGTGCCGCAGTTACCTAAAGGCTATGCAGTTGTATCTTGGTTATCTGGAAAATCACCTGAAAATGTTCATGAGGATCAGTTGGAGGTTATTGACAGATATCCTTCCTGAGATGAATTTTGGTGCGCTATGGTGGCATATTCTTGTTGTGGTCTGCTACTGCGATTGTTCCTTTCCCATATCTATCCTTAATGTTCAGTTAAACATCATTCTTAGTTGGAGATGTTGTAAAGAGATCAGGAAACGAAATGATATCTGGAACGATTATCGGTGTGAATGGAGTCGCAGACATCAAACATAAAGTTGCTAATGTGGCTATTACACAAGTAAACACCAGAGACTTAACTTACTACTGGAAATATAGGGAAGGT